AGCGTTGTGAGGATATACAGAAAGCGATGATTGTGTATTTTGGGTTGTTTCTCTTCGTTAGCATTCTTGCAGCGCGAGGCGTTGAATAGGTTGCATGAGTATTGGGAGGGGTGACTGGCGTAAAAAGCATTTGAACCCATTTTGTAGGACATAAGACGAAGACGGAGCATAATCAAGGCTAGTGTATTCTTGAATGAAGTATTATAATGGAAGGACATCTGATAGGACCTGTGAGCTTCTTGAAGGTGGTGCTTTGGGAACTCGCCATGTGTCGGAGTTTAGCCCACCTACGTTAACGCCGTGTCAATACGCGTTCCTAAGCATCGTCACTTTGCGCATCTTCTCCAACACACCTGCCCGCACTCCGTACCACATCCCACAGCTTCCAGCGCGACCAACAAGCACTCCCATCTGAATCGCCACGCCATGTGACCCTCCTCCACACCTCACAACCCTCCGTCCCAACCCCCACACAATGCCAATCTGCATCTCATGCCGCACCCCCGTGCGCACACTCTACACAACCTACTCCAAAGCTGATGACCGCGCCCTCGGCAAAGGCGTCCGCCTAACGCAATGCCCCGTATGCAAGAAATTCGCGGATAAATACGTCGAACACGATTTCGTGGTGCTGTTCATTGATCTCGTGTTGATTAAAGCGGAGGTGTACCGGCATTTGCTGTTTAATCGGTTGGGGAAGCATGAGGGACGGTTGGGGTTTGATGTATGTATCCCCATTCATCCTTGTGCATAGCATGGATGGAGTGGAGATGTTAAAACAAGACAACAGTAGCTAACACAATTCCAGCGATCCATACTCCGCCTAGGCATCCTCCTCCTCCTCTTCGACGTCTACCTAACCTGGGCGCGCATCGAAAAACTGCCCCTCCCACCCACATCGCCCTACCACCCAACCCCCTACTCCCCCTCCTCACCCGCCTTGAACACAACATCCACAAGCCCCCTCGTCGCACCCCACGACGGCATCACAAACGCCGTAGTCCTCCAAGCCCACCCCCTAGGCCTGCAATACCTATTCTTCCTCTGCCTCGTCACCCTCTGCACGTTGGCCTTCCACCTCCCCATCCGCCTCCTCTGCGCCTTCGACGCTACGCGCCTCCCCAGCTCGACACTCCGTCGCTTGTGGCGGAGATGTATACCTAGTTTCGACACCCCTACACCACTGTCAACTGCACTGCTGGTGAGCAGTTGCACGAAGCTGTTTCCTATACTGCTTATTATATGGGATTACGATTTACCCAGCTCGGCTACGGCGGTGAGTTGGGCGGTTATTGTGAATAATATTGCGGCGCTGGAGATACTCATGGATTGTGGGTATGTGAGGGCGGGTGTGCTGGTGGGGATAGGGGCGGGGCTGAGGACGGCGGTTGGATGGGGGATACTGAGGGCGGCGGGGTTGGGGACGGGGTGGGAGGGGTATTGGAGGGAGTGGACTGTTTTGGGGGGTGTTTGGGAGTGGGTTGGTGGGTTGGTTGGTGGTTCGTGAAGCAAAGATGGTCATGAGCGTTTTGTTTGGATGGAAAGCAATGATACCCCATTTGATATTTGTACAAGTCGAGAAAGACTCCGTATTACGCCAAAAGACCAACTATACACATGCGCTCAAGTATTCGGTAATGCACTGCTTTGGTTGTTCTTCACCGATGACTCCAGACGCGGCTTGCTAGACAGAACACAGTTGCTCCAGCATGCTTCATCTCTCCGACACATGCTCTGCCTGCATCCTGCCTGCCGCCTGGTCCAGATCGCCCAAAGCCATCCTTCTCACAACGTGCATATGCATATTCCCGTCGCGTCTAGCATCCCCAGTCGAGCTCCGCTAACGCCCTCCATTGTATTCCGGTCGCAAATCGTTTCGTACAGGCGAGATAAGAGGATGGAGTTGTGCGAGGAAAGTAATCGCCCACATGATATACATGGCCGCGGCAGAGAGAACGAGTGTAGATCGCCAGACCCTGTCCGATTGAGTTAGCCCAAGGTGTCTCTCTTCCTCCTTGCATCTCAAGATGCTCGTCTAAGCTCGCTGTCGCTGACGTTGATATCGTTGTCCTCGCTCGTCTCGTACTCATTGCTGAAACGGACTCGTCTTCCATCGCCTGCGCCGCGCTTCTTGCACACAACTAGAAGCTTCTCTCGCGCATTCTCATTCTCGTCGCGCAGACAGGGCTTTGTGGGTGCGGGTGGTGACTTGGGTGGTGACTCTGTGCTGGACGAAGAGATGGTGGGAACGTACGTTTGGTTCTCGCCTTTGGGAGCTAGGAACCAGGCGGCGCCGCAGAAGATGACGGTGACGATGAGGCCGATGATTGGTGCCCAGCTGGGGTTATGTTAGTGGCTGGCAGGCTGGATGAGCTTTGTTAAGCGGATCGCGGAACTGACCCGTTCGCCATTGTAGGTCGCGGTTTGGGAGGTGACGCGCTGGGGAGATGGTTGTATGGGGTTTTGTCTGGGGTGATGCGACGATCAGGTGACGTTCAAGCTTCGAGAATAGTAGAGGGCGTGTAGAGGAGGCGGATATCGTGATGTGGAGATGGCTTCGCCGTGGTGTCGCGAGCTGCGAGCTTGCGATGACGCTGCGGATCGAGGTTCTAGGGCTTGGCGCCAGGCGCGTCGTGATGCTGTCACGTGTGAACCCACATGGCCGTCCTAAGGTTGCCTGGAGTAGACTCCGAGGTCCTGCAATCTTTATTTGAACATCATGTCTTTCTGAGTTTTACTCGCATCACTTCCTTCTCGCAATTCTGATTTTCTGTCATCGGCGCACTCCTACGCGTATTCCCAAGTCTCTCTTGCCGCGTCGCTTGTTCTTGCCCAAGCAACATGCATGAAGATCATCACAGGGCTTCCAAGCGCCTGCCTCACTTACCCTTTCTATCGGTCTTTTCGAGCTTCACTCTTCTGTTGAACAGTTTCGGAATAGTTCTCGTAGGCCGTCGCGGTCGCTTGATCCCGAGGTCTCCTCCGGCGTCCCGTGGCACCAAGCCCGTCAAGCTGATCACTAGCCTACTAGGACATTCCTTGACCCTCCCACCGTTGGTATCGTTCTCGAATAGCTTTCTAATCAAGTCTATCTGGTCGTCCAGAACTGACGCACAGTGCCCTTTGAATCGATCATGCTCCACTTTGTTGAGCATCCATCTGGCTATACCGTTTGGGATCACAAGTCTTTGGCACCGATGAAACTAGCTACTAATGTCATGAAGGACGCTTCAGACAGTTGCTACGCGACTCTTTTCAAGGCTTCTCGTCGATCTTCGATGAGCCCTTGTCGATATCCTACCAGTCGAACACGATAGCTCACTCTCCAATGAGCTTCTACTATGCTTAGCCTCGTCTTGACTATAGTGTACCTTGCGTATACCCAGCCCCCACGATTACATTTGAGGCCGGGTACTACATGGGCTCGGAAATATGTACATTAGGTTCCTGAGCAGCTCCCTGTAGAGTTTCATTACTCAAAATCGCAGAGCTACTCGACGCAAAGGCTGCTAATTGGCACAGAAGAATGAGGATGCGGTGTGACACGCGATCCTCCTACATGAGCACTGCATATGGCTGATGTTCCCGCATACCATCCACAGACAAAACGGCTCGGTTCGTTCCTGTATCTACGGCTCGACGATAAAGTTCACGAACACTTCTTATCATCGAGATCTTTGCGTTTCACGTCGGGATCAAGAATTGGACCGTCGGGACGGTTAGAACGAGGGGAACCCGGATCCGCACCAACCATGTCCGGCACCCCCGTCTTTGGCCGACCCATTATGCAGTGGGTCTCGGCATCGTACCTCAGAGGGTGGTAACATGCATGGCTGAACTTACAAGCGTCAGACATGCTCGAGTTCACTTGGCTTATCGCTAGCAGACCGCTTGCTCATTTCGTCAATTGTGGTTGAACTTTGAACCTCTTCACCGCCTACTTGTGAAGGGTTGCCTGGTTGTTATCAGCTGCTTCAACAAGTGGAAACGCAAGTCTTGATCACATGCTCTCAGTGGAATGCATGCAAGCTCGTTATGTCGAAGGATTCAGCGGCAGAAGAACCGGCTGACTCGAACTGTACAACTTAACCGGCATCGTCAGGATATCGTCCAAGCGCCGACAGCCTCGAATCATAGCCAGGATCTCCGTATGTACTTACAGGCTAGCCGCAGCTATGCTAGCGGACTTTAGTTCGCCCTTGTGGAATCGACGCTTAGCAGCATGGACTCGAGACATGCTACCGCAGCCTTCCCCACAAAGTGAAGCAACGAACGAAATTATCGAATGGAACTATCCTATGCAACGTAACATGTTACAGGCTGCCTGAAGATGGTACAAAGCACGGTTGTCTTATTTTTGAGGCAATCAAATTGGGAAGATAGACCATTTCAGACTTGTGGGCACAGTCCTTCGGCCACGCACCCTGCAGTGCTACGTGGACAAAAGCAGTACTACCCAGTATTGACAGGGTGATCTGCACCACACCTCTGGGACCCAAGAGTATGTGAGCTCATCCAATGGCTCAAACTTCCGCTAACATCCTTGCGGTCGACCTGACCTTCGGTAAACATTTGGTGGCACAAACAGTCTTCTGGCAAGCTATATTCCATATGCCTTGCTTTCCCTACAGGGCTCGAGAAGCTATTTGATCACAGCTCCGTCTGCGCTGGCTCGCGCAATTCACTTGCATATAGCTTCCCATACTTCGGATCGTCTAGTCCAGTGTATCACTTGGTTATGTCATTCTTGTGCCCCTACGACCCATAACGTGTAACAGCCATCCTGATAAATATCGAGACGATTGTATCATTCGTTTCAACCATCAGTCACTGTCGAGAAATCACATCTTCACGAGATGGAATCGGATGAGATAGTCTTCGTCGAGCATCCACCCTCGATGCCCATTCTTTCGTCATCCCGACCACTTCCGGGACCCAGACCAAACAGCAAACAAGCAAACCTCAATCCGTATCAACAAGAGGCCCGTTCTACCGCAGGAATGCCTTCTTCTCCAGTCGAACACGGCTCTTCCGAACGCAGTCTTTCATCCATACCAATAGAGGAGGACATGAAAGAACGGATGACCGAGAGTGGGTCATCACGGCAACGCCAGGGCTCAGATTGGTCTCTCAGTTCGGACACACAAAGTGAAGATATGACGAAGCACGAAGAAAGCAGTCTGGGGGCGTCTCCTGCAGGACAAGCTGCTCCATTTCCACCACCACCACCGCCGCCGCCACCGCCGGTTGATTGTCACTTTGGCCCCGGAGGATTCAATTCTCAGATTCCTCATCCAGTAAGTTTGAAACCGTACCAGAGAGTGAGAACTTGGTCTGACTGTGTACTTTAGCCGCCTCCTCCACCACCTCCTGTATGCAAAATTACCACATACTCATTGCGGAATGATCGTAAGCTGACATTAGCAGCCTCCACCACCACCAGGCCTACCTGACTTCATGAACGCTCCGATGATGACCTCAGCACTTCCTCCCCCGGTACGTTCAGAACGCGGTCAGACCAATGCATTGCTGATCAATACTAGCCCCCGCCCCCGCCACCCGGTCCTCCTCCGCCCGCATTGAGCATGAACCTATACAGTGCAGGAGAAGAAGTGCATACCCCCAATCAGTTCATCCAAATGCAGTACTCCAACGAGTCTATCTCCGACTTTGCCAGCCGTGTACTTCGCATCGGGCCTTTCAGACGCAACGTCTTTATGACACTTCATCCGGCTAGTGCGGCTGACTACAAGGAGTACGAGTGGCTTATCAAGTACGGAAGCTCTGAGATTTGGTATGAGAAGCCTACCAAAGCGCTTCTCAGGAGTGTCAAGACACTCGAGGCGAACCGACGGGCACCGGGCGAGTTGCTTCCCTTACACAATGCCAGGCCAGTGAGTCTTGAGACGCCAAAAGTATGGGCATCAGCTGCCATGACGACACCGACCGACGACGACATCTTTGAGTGTGTTGCTGATCATCCTGTGGATGATGGCTACGACACCGGGACATGCCACCAATGTACTGAGGCCAAGTCACAGGCACTTGAAAGCACACCTCTCGTCTACTGTCTAGTGTTCAGTACCTGCCAAGCAGCCGATCCTTTCATTCACGGCGCCCACTTCAACGGCCGCCAGATCTACAAGCTTGTCAAGTGTGGCAGTCGCGAGGCTGCAGTTGCAGAGACCTTTTACGCCGCAGGTGTCAACGGATGGAGTCTGGCCTTTAGCTGCATCATGAAGCTAGGTGACGACTTCGAAGAGAGATGCGGTACGGCCAAAAAGGTCAACGTGCTTTGGATGCTGGCTGAAGAGGAGGCCGATGAGAAGATCGTCAAAGTATTCTACTAACATACAAAAAAAAAAGCAGTGCTTCTTGGGTTATTCTTGTTTTCGATATCTATCCTTGCGTCTTCCAAAACGATTCTTTCTCGTTTCTCAAAAGTTACTTCTCTCCACTCTTCAACGGTAACACCTCCGCGCATGTCAACATAGCCCGGTCAACCCTCAACATGACCCACGGACACGATCAAGCCCTGTCGAGACGAGCCCAAGGCCTTGTACTACATCAGACGCATAGCACGAAAACACATGTGCAGCTTACCGATATATGCGGTCCCGAACCAGTCGCATGTGCCATGTATCACAATGCTTGCCTCAACCAGTTCATTCTGCGTCCAGTACACCCTCGCCGCCTACCACCAATATCGTCGAGTCGCTCAAGAGACCCGACAAACGTTGTCGAATGCTGTCTATGGTAAAGTGCATTGGCCACTTCCTCCAATCAGCGGTGTCCACGATAACGGGCGTGTCGCACGAGGCTGCCCGTCTTACTATCTCTTCTCTTTCTGTATGGCTGTGTTCGGCGTTTACATCACGTTTATTTGCTGGCGTTTTGTGTTGTCTCCTTTGTTAAATCGTGTTGTGTTTATGGCGTTGAGGCTGGGATACGTATGAGGAATGACATGGATGTCGATTGGCGTTTGATTTAGGTTACGACTTACGAGGCTGTTGCATGGGTGTGGCGTTAGAGTAGACACACGCTTTAGGATCGGTATAACGGAAAATGGTGCATCCAATACTGGGGGAGCACGTGGCGCTAGGGCATAACGACATTACTGTATTATTAGATCACATTTGGGCAGAGGGGTGTACGACTAGTGCGCTTTTCGAATGCCAGCAATGACAGAATCCCTGATTGGTTTTTTTCTTCTTGTGAAGTGACGTCTTGCGTAATAACATGTTTGGGGAGTGAGGTTTAGTCAAGGAAGACTGTTCTTGTCTAATTCATCTCGTCTCTTCGCCTAGTCTACGTCCGGTGAGAAAGCCTTGGTGTTCACCCAGATAATCGACTATAGCGCACTACGTACTTCGTACAACTGCTGTTCCTCTTCTACGCTAAAGATTGCAGTGCACTATCCGTGTGGGAAGTTGCTTTCAGGCAACGGTACACAACCCCAACTCCCGGTTGTACAGAGTGACAGCTGGGTACAGTTATCGCCACAGCATTGGGTGTTCCTCGCTCGCGTACCACGGTTCTACAACTTCTTCTTCGTAACCGGCTCTAAGCCTCGGTGTTGCTTCGCAATCATCTGATCAAGCCTCGCATAGCAATCTAGCGACATGAAGATACCTAATCGCGTTAGCTTATATTCCCCTCGAAAAACATCCATGATATCTCTCATCAAGAACAGCACTTACCAGCAGCCAGATACCCTCCATACATACCACCCAGCCCCTGCGCACCCCTCTGCACCGACGTCAACTCCTCCCAACTCAGCATCTCCGCCAGGCAAACCAACGTCGTCAAGCTCGTCTCTAGACCAAAAACTAGCAGAGCGAGAGGAATGCGTGGATCGTTACGCAGCAAAGCAGGAATGGCCCAGAGAGTCAGAGGGAGGTGGTAGACGAGTTCAAGAAAGGTCAAGACGGGGAACCAGGCTGGGGCGTTGTAGAAGAAGCGGTCGCCGTAGGTGGATATGTACCAGTCGCGGAGCGACGACATCCAGAGAGGCTTTATTTGGATTGGGTAGTAGGCTGTCAAGTCGAATGCTGTTGTTGAGTTAGTGTTGGTCAGTCCATTCATGTGTGCGGTGGTCTGATGTATCAAGTCCGGAAGCATCGGAACGATTGATAGAGTAAATGATTCAACAGATCGGGTCGTCGTATATGTAATCTTGCTTTGCTAATTGCAGCATGACAGAGCCTCCAGCCTTGATATGCCTTCTCGGTACGTACCTAGCATTACGGGCAGGTGCACGAGGAAAAAGATGAGGTAGATAAGATCGCGCTTCCGCTGAAATATTGAGACCGCCATGTTTGTATGAGCCGATAATTAATATTCGGCAGCGTGGGTTGAAGTTGGTCGTGGTCGTGAAGTCACGTTCGTTGGCAAGCGCGTCGTACGCGTTTTCGCGCGTGGGGCATCCACGGCCCTTTCCCCATACCTTTGGGGCCGCATTCTTGGCTTCCGTCTCTCATCACTCCACCTGGGCACCCACGACGTCCAACTCGAATCGAATGGACAAACTTGACAACCGGAGATTTTTGATGGGCTTCTCGTGATTTTTCCGCGAAGTTCCAATGCGGGTCGATGGTGCTCCTGCCAACCGTGCCAGACGAAAGGCCACCGATACTACATGCGAACCGCTTCCGCGTAAGCTGCAGCTCTAGGAGATCGATGCCTGAAACATGACTACTGTTCATCGGAAAGCAATTTCCTGCTTCAACCAGTCTTTCGTCTGAATGGCTATACAACTCGGACATCGGGTTGGCTGTTCGCGATCAGTTGAGCGCCATGCCAAGCGTGTATGCCTATACGTGCATCAGCGTTCCGCCTTTAGCCTTCACATCTGATTTCTAAGATTCGGTTGCCACCACATCTGGAAGTCGATGATGCTACACGTGTAGAAACAATGGTCCGTACCTCTCACGAATCGATCGCGCTATCGAAACTGCCGTCGCAACCGTCTAAGGATTCCTCGGAGCCTCGTCATGTCGGCGCTCCGCTGCTACAAATTCACTGACAACGGGCAATTTAGCCTAAAGCTTTCGTCGGATGGCCCTTGGCACCCGGCCCACAGCAACCGAACGACATCAGCGGCGGATGAAGCACGAACGGCACATGACTGCCAAGAATGGTGGATGCTTACATTGCTTTCCGTGTCCAATTAGTGTGCTCGAAGCCTTGGCTTGGCTCTCTTCAAGCCGTGTTTAACATGCTGCCCAGCAGCCGTTTCCTCTTGGTATGCTTAAGGGGTTAAACAGCTGTTATTACCGATGATCTGGAAAGAGTATGGAGGCCTGTTTCCCCACAGTGCTGCGGTACGGCCACCGGGGTGCTGGATGATTATGCACATGGTGGTGCGGGCTTCGGTGGCCCCCCATACATAAGCCTGGGGTCTCCGAGTAAAGGACCGTAAGCTTTTTGGCAATCTGGGGTACTACTCAGACGGCTTTTGTTCAAGACCTTCGCCAAACTCTTTCGAACGTTTCGATTATCGGTAATCGAGTATCATCATGGCTGGAGGCGGCGGTGGTGCATCTGGCTTCGATGCCGCGCTTCAAAGGCGTCAGGCACTGATGGGCGCCAGTGGTCCTAGGGCTCTCGTGAAGAACGGCAAGGTCTTCCTGATTGCCTTGTTCGCTTGTCTTGGAGGTGTGTTGTACGGATACAACCAGGGCATGTTCAGCGGTATTCTGGCTATGCCATCTTTCGGAGCACGTACGTACTTGCAACTTCCACCATCAGCTTGCGCTTACATATAGTAGAAACCGACGGTTACGTTGACAACCCAACCCAGAAGGGATGGCTGACCGCTATCCTGGAACTCGGAGCCTGGTTCGGAGCTGTCATGTCTGGTTTCGTTGCTGAGGCAATGTCGCGCAAGTACGGTATCTTGATCGCTACAGCAATCTTCATCATCGGTGTTGTGGTGCAGATTACTGCGATTTCTGGTGGTCACGAGGAAATTCTGGCTGGTCGTTTCATCACGTTAGTAAACCATGACTAGGAACCTTTCAACATTTGCTAATCAACCGTAGTGGTATCGGAGTCGGTGGTCTTTCCGTCATCGTCCCTATGTACAACAGTGAATGTGCACCTCCGTAAGTACACGCAAAAGGAGCTACCTCAGTACCTGAGTAACATTCTGACGCGTCTTAGTGAGGTTCGTGGGGCCCTAGTAGCACTACAACAGCTTGCCATCACATTCGGCATCATGATCAGTTTCTGGATCAACTACGGAACCAACTACATCGGAGGCACTACGCTTGAGACACAATCCAACGCAGCATGGCTCGTACCCATCTGCCTTCAGCTCGTTCCAGCATTCGTCCTTATCATCGGAATGGTCTGGATGCCGTTCTCCCCACGTTGGCTGGTACACCATGGACGCGAAGAAGAAGCGAGAAGCAACCTGGCTTCTCTGCGCAACCTTCCCGCCGACCATGAGCTTATCGAGCTGGAATTCCTGGAAATCAAGGCACAGTCCATGTTCGAAAAGCGCAGTGTCGCTGAGGCTTTCCCGCATCTTCGCGAGCAGACTACCATGAACATCTTCAAACTTCAGTTTGTTGCCATTGCTTCGCTTTTCAAGACAAAAGCTATGTTCAAGAGGGTTATCGTCGCGACTGTCACTATGTTCTTCCAGCAGTGGACTGGTATTAACGCAGTATGTGGACTCTCAAAACCACTGATCAACTACATCCGAAACACATACTAACTTGGCCTCTCCCAGGTCCTCTACTACGCGCCTCAAATCTTCGAGCAAATCGGTCTCGAAGGAACCACGCAATCCCTCCTCGCGACAGGCGTCGTCGGCATCGTCATGTTCCTCGCCACCATCCCCGCAGTCCTTTACATTGACAAGCTCGGCCGTAAACCCGTGCTCGCTGTCGGAGCCCTCGGCATGGCCTTCTCCCACTTCGTCATCGCCGTCATTCTCGCGAAGAACTATGAAAACTTTGGGAACCACCGTGCGGCGGGATGGGCAGCCGTTGTGATGGTCTGGTTGTTCGTCATCCATTTCGGTTACTCCTGGGGTCCTTGTGCCTGGATTTTGATCGCCGGTAAGCTATCGCCCCACTCGCCAAAACTTGTCTTTTAAGTCTGTGCTAACGTTCCGCCTCATAGAAATCTGGCCCCTCTCCACCCGCCCCTACGGTACAGCTCTCGGCGGCTCCTCCAACTGGATGAACAACTTCATCATCGGACAAATCACGCCCGAGCTGCTCGAAAACATTACCTGGGGTACATACGTTCTCTTCGGACTGGTCACCACACTCGGAGCAGCTTTCATCTGGTTCTTCGTTCCTGAAACCAAGCGCCTGACGCTCGAGGAGATGGACACTATCTTTGGTAGTGAGGGCGCGGCGCTCAAGGATCAGGAGCGCATGGCGGAGATTAATCATGAGATTGGTCTTGCGGCGTACTTGCATGGCGATGCAAGCAGTGGGAATGAGACGAATGTTGTTGGGAACGAGAAGGGTATTGTGTAAGCGGAGTGTCGCCTGTGGAGGAAGGGTTTTGAGTAAGATGTGAGATTGGGGGTTGAGATTAGCTTAGTGGCAAATTGATGGTTATGATTATTTGAGTTCTTTCGATGATGCTATGGAGATTGAGGTATATGTGGTGTTTGTATTCTTTCGCTTCGCCATGTTTGGACAATTGCTATTTCTAGTAGAACGAAGCTTGGATGAGTGCACACAAAGGGGCATTTGATAGGTGATGAAGTGACGGGGGCACGAACGGGGATCCTAAAAAACGTAACATCGTCTGCAAGGCTCCTTCTTCTCTAATGTGATGCAGTTCGTTTCTCAGCAAAACAACCTTCAAAAAAATCATCGAAATCAGCATCAGAATCAGCATGGTAACCGTTATCATAACCATCATGGAAAGAATCGAAGTAGTGTATCTCACCATCGTGCTTGCACCACCATCGATCTGGGACTGGCACAGAGTCGCCACTTTGCTCAGCCGTGCTTTCCGCAGTCGTACTTGCCAACTGCAACCCCATCTCTGGGATGATATCGCGCAACAATGGTCTTCGCCTTGTCGCTGTGATAGATCCCCAGCTGACCTCAATTTCTGCTTCTTCTTCTTCTTCTTCTTCTTCTTCTTCTTCTTCTTCTTCTTCTTCTTCTTCTTCTTCTTCTTCTTCTGCTTCTTCTTCTTCTTCTTCTTCTTCTTCTTCTTCTTCTTCTTCTTCTTCTTCTTCTTCTTCTTCTTCTTCTTCTTCTTCTTCTTCTTCTTCTTCTTCTTCTTCTTCTTCTTCTTCTTCTTCTTTTGGCGCATGGATTCGTTCAGAAGGTGGTCGCGGCCGTACTCTAGTATATATGCGGCCCGTATACGTATGCTGGACATTTCGTATCTTGGTGTTCAAGTATGCTCTTTGGCAATATCGGAGAAACTTTCTGAGCCCATAAAGATGTTGCTGGGAGAGACCCATCGCTTGTCCCAGAGAAACAAGCGTGTTGCAATAGTATATTGGATTGGTCGTATTAATCAAGACTCCTGGATGAAGGCACTCTGGATCTTTAAGGTCGAATAACTCTTCGTACAAGGCCGCCACCGTATCGAAGTACACCTCAAGCACCTCTTTTGTGTAGTCAACAGGCACTCGCCATCTTTCAGGTGTAAGCCCTAACAACCCGTAAACTTTGTCGCGAGGATCATGGCAGTCACTCTGATAATGGTATTGGAGATATACTTGCAGGGTACCCCTTCTTGGAAGCTGGTCGCGCACATAGATGGGTGCAGTGGCGGGTGCGTGGAAGCTTAATGGAAATTTTCTTGCTGGACGTACGCAGTCCCAATTTAGTTCAATCCCCCCGCAAACAATGAGGGGTGCGTTCATACTGAGCGCGATCTCCTGAATGATCCATGTCCGTGAAAAATATTGGTGGGCTATTATAGTATCAAGGGCCGACGCGTCGTCATCTTCCTCGTCTCGCCGCCGACGTGCAGCCTCAATCATTTCAGGGTCGCACCCTAACCATATGAGCACCGTCTTCGCCTGCTTGTAGATCTTGTTCATGATACGGACTTGTTCGCTGCGCTCAATCGGGTCCTCCTGGTCGATGCATATCTGATCGATCCAATAGAATACTGGTCTTTCGATGTCGGCCATGCCCCATGACTCAGTAGTATAAGCATGTAGGAAGTCGGAGAGATTTTGGCGTATTTGCACATCCGCTCCGTCGACTGCAACATTGTGAGTTGGCGTCGAGTCACCCCAGGTGTATGAAAGAGCGGTATAGTCCGGACAGGTTTCGAGGCTGTACTTCTGTAGGCTACATTGCGGTTGATCGGTGAGAGGGTCTTTTCTGATTCGAAGTAGCCGGAACTCTGCATCTGGCTTGTCGAGAGGTCGATAAATGTATTTAGACATTCTTACGGTGTGGTAGAAGCTGGTGGTGGTGAAGTCTAAAGAGATGGGGCAACGCGGGGTAGTAGTTTTCCACCAGGCTGCCACTGCCTCGCGATGTTTAGCGCTGACGAGAAGGGCTACGTAGGTGTCAGGCTGGACAATGCCATGCCCTGTCTGTCAGGCAAAACGCCTCAATCTCTGCTTGCAGTGTGGCGCATGCTTTGCTGTGACGGCATGATGAGAGGAAGCCGCTTTCGCCAGGGGTCGTAAGTGCAGCATTGGCTGCATATTATAGTTCCTCCTAAGGCTTTTTAATTTTAGAGAGAACGGCCTCTCATGAGCTTATTTTGCTCTACTCTTGTTTCTCTAATGTAACCCAAAGTATCACTCAAAGTCGTTGCAGTCGGATCACCAAGAGACGAGCGCGAACAAGAAGATGCTTCTAACGTGTGCTTAAATGCTCTTACGCCTGCATTGGGGTAGAGTTGTGGTAAAGAGGAAGGAGCATCCGCAGGTAGCAGCACAGTCAGGAACCACAAACGACCTACCTTTGTCCGATATCTTTAAATGTGTAAATCTCTAATGGGTGTGCATTGCGCAGAGAGTAATCACCTATCTGCATGTGCGCTCAAGCCGCATTTCTTTTCAGCCCCATTCACAGGCTGTCAGGAGGAAGTTTGGAGTCTCTTTTCTCACTCTTAATCTACAGCATCCGCAGCACACTCACAACGCTTTCGAATTGCGCCACCTTCATTTTTCTTGCACACAAACGCTCAATCACTGCTCACCACCCAATGTAACCATCAAACTCTGCCTAAACGCCCCCTGATCCACAGCCCTCCCAATCAAAACCAACTTGGACTCCTGAGCCCCATCTTCAGGCTTGGCGTCAAGCTCATTCGTATCGTAGATAGCCCTCACACCTTGCGTAAGAAGTATCTTGCCGTCCTCGACCGGAACGCGTCCCTTCAGACGGTGAATCTCAAAGGGCTTGTGTGCAGTTTCATTCGGTAGCGTTTCCTCCCATAAGATAGTGCGGAGGAAGAGATCGAATCTGTCGACTTGGTCGCGGGTCAAAGCGGGGAAGGAGATGGTTGAAGTGGTGATTGTGGGGTCGAGGTGACTGTGTCCTTTACTCGCGAATTGTAGATCTGTATCTGTGACTTCGTCGTAGGCATGGAGATCCAGGACCAGTCCTTCGAGTTGTGGGACTTGGCTTTTCGTCGTCGTCTTGATACGAGCGAGGCCGTTGATAGAGCGGATCCGCTCGGTGACTTGCTCAAGTTCTTGCGCGGAAACCAGATCGGTTTTATTGATGATGATGACATCTGCATGGCTGATTTGCAAGTGCGCTGTTGTGAGTAGAGGGCCGTGTTCGTCGTGAGATGCTTTCTTTCTTTCTTCGATATTTTCTTCGTCGCCGAGACCTTCGTCTAGGCTCTTTAGAACGTTCTTTGCGTCGACGAGTGTCACGATGCCGTCGAGGAAGATGCTGCTGCCTAGACCATCGTCGAGCCAGAACATGGGTGCGATGTTTCCTGGGTCAGCTAGGCCGGTTGTTTCAAGCAGGATGTAGTCGAATAGGCCGGATTGCTCCATCAGGTTCTCGATGGCTGCTACACCAATGTCTTTTACGGAACAGCATATGCAGCCGTTTGCGAGTGGGACAAAAGGAGCGGGTTGAGCGGATGTGGAGTTTGCGTCGGAGACGGTGAGCTGCTTTTCGATGTCAATTGCTGAACCGTGTGTTAGAGTGATATTTTGCATTAGTGGAGGGTGAGCGTACAGTCACCGAACTCATTCAGAATGACAGCAATCTTCTTTCCATGTTGCTCAGTCAAAATATAGTTGAGCAAAGTTGTCTTTCCCGCACCAAGATAACCTGTCACTATGGTGATGGGCACTTTGCCCTGGGGTGCCTCCTCTGAGATCGCCACAAGATTGGGTATTTCCTCATCTTGGCCGTCGAGGACTTTGGTGTTAGTCTCCGGCTGAACTAGAGTGGGTACTTCATCGTCTGATACGTTTCCGTCCATCGCCGGCAAGCTCTTACTAGATGTTGATCAGACTGTGGAGGAGGGGTGCCAGAGCGTCAGGATACTGTTCTAGAATAAGTTAGAACAGATGATCTGGATGTAGGTGCATAAGAACATGCAACCCTAAAGTACACGATGCACCCATAACGTCTTACCTAATCGCAGCTACTTCGGGATTTTGGAGGCCAAGAGGGACGGCAATGACGTCGTGGGGTGGCAGAGTCATGTAGAAAAATGGTCCACCGCGACTGACGCGCGATGAAGCTAGCGCCTTCGCGTATTTCCTAGTTGACAAGACCCCTGCCCATGCCCTGCATCCGCAAGCTCCAGGTATCAACAACACACGCCGCCCCGCCTACCTGTCGCCAGACGCCTACTGTGATCGCAATTCACTCACTACCACCTATCATTCCGCAAATATGACGTCGCCCGCTTCGCCGCGCCTTCCCAGCCCGCCGCCCATCCCAGAAGACCAGCTTTCGCCGGTATCCGCGTCGCCAGAGCAGCAGAAGCTCTTCAGCAATCTCGACCATGCTGCCGAACGGAGAATACGACCGGGGACCAAGGCGGAGGACATGGCAGAGGGGCCGCCGCTGGTAGAATTGTCAGAGGTGCGTTGAGGCATACTACAATCAAGATAGCGCCTGGCTGACAAGATGCGCAGATCGACTCGGCTTTCCAACTCACAGAGCACCTCAAAGCCCTCCACCACTCGCTCACGCACCCCGCCGGCTCGAATGGCACTGTGCCAGTAGACAGAAACATGGCATTGAAGATAGCACAATCACCCGCCAATGTGGACAGGACGCTGTGGCTATACGAACTCTGCCGCTTCCTCATACAAAAGGTCAACTCCATCATTACCGCCCTCTTCGCCGACGACCCACCATGCTCGTCCCTGACGTGTCCCGAGATGCGCGCTTCCGAGTGGCAGTACCTTTGCGCAGTACACGATCCGCCAAAGTCATGTTGTGCCATCGACTACTGCTGCCACACGCTCGACTGGGCAGCTAACACCCTCACATCACCTAAGCACTTTCCTTCACGGCTCGCGCTTGGCACCGACTCGTCAACACAACACTCGCAAATGCGCCAATTGACCAACATCTTCAGGCGCGTGTACAGAATCTTTGCGCACGCATGGTACTCGCACCGAGAAGTCTTCTGGAAGGTCGAGGGGCGCACAGGCCTATACATATTCTATAAGACAGTCTGCGATGTATACGGTCTGGTACCAGAGGACAACTACACCATCCCTCCAGAGGCTGAGGGCATTGAGCCATCCACAGAAGTCAAGCCGTCAGCGCCACCTCTGATTATGAAGCGAGAGCCCTCTGATTCGACATCAGAGATTTCAAGTAACACACTGGCAGACGGAATGTCGGATCATTCGCTGTCAACGGCGGGCACAACCAAGCGACATAGGCATTCGCCATCAGTTGGAGCCACGGCCGTCCAAACGGTTGTAGAGGAAAATGAGGAAGAAGAAGAGCGCCCAGTTCTCCAAGCGCGACCAGTCACTCAAATCTTCGAATCGGCACAAGAGGACGAGGAAGAAGAGGAAGCCGATAGTGACGGCGACGTCACGGCTATTGAAGACAACAACGAAGATGATGATGACGAAGATGATGACGAGGACGAGGATGAGGACGAGGCCGAAGCTGCAGAGGAGATCACACAAGCAGATGCCAAGGATCCCACGACTGAAGCAGCCAAGGAAGGCGCGGGCGAGGAGCAGGCAGCGGGTACCTCGACCGAGGAAGAAGAAAAGAAAGATATAGATGCCGCCACAGAGCCAGCAGCTACCGAGAATGCTGAGGCCAGTGCTTCGGACGCCCAAGACGACGAAAAGGAACCATCAAAAGATGACACTGAAGACAAAGATGATAGCAAGCCAGATGCTGAAGGGTTAGAGGAGGCGAAGAAGGTTGATTCTGCTGCAGAGTCGGCTGATGAAGAGAGTGGTACGAAGGCCCAAGATTAGGTTATCACGGGCAAGGCTCAACGGGTAGTATTTCAAAAAGCTTCCGTGGTGTACATTAAGCGTAGGAATAAGACGGGATAATGACTTGGCAGGGCAGATGGGGATGCTATCATTTGCGTCAGCACACATAGATATCACGCACGGCATGACATGGCTTAAGGGAGCCGCATTACTAGATACTAGTATCTGATGATAGTTGGGATCTCAGATGAGTGATAGCGGGGCTTCATCGAAGAGACATGCATTGATGCCCTCGGGCTTTACCTCCAGCCTCAAGAACCAACTAGTACGAAGTGGCTCAGCTAGCGCGTGTGTATAGCCTCCGCGGAGGATCTATCTCAGCTCACGAGACAAGTATAGACTGGGACCAGGGAATTTCCTGCCCAGTTTGGCAATATACTGGCCTTGAAACACGAAGGAAGGGCAAAGCAAAGCAAAACTGCATATTCTCCGTGGCGGAAGAGAGGCGCTCGGTAAAGCGCACCGTAGTGACAAGGATGGGAGAAATTGTCTTATTGAGCTTGGTCCAGCGGTTGGGGGCGAATTTGGCACAGGCCCGGCTTGGTCGTTCCACGTTTCCATGTTGCACTGCGTGAACTGTCTCGTCACACTGTGTTAATGACAGATAGGGCTGATGAGGCTCAACTAGACAACATCCGTCTTGACATTCCTCCGAATAAATCAATGCCTATGTGCAGATTTAATCAAATGCGGATACCGATGCGACGACGCTCGCCGGGCGCCGAGTGCCGCAAGCAGAGGGTGACGTCCGGGCCGCGCATCATTGGCGGGAGTGGACCGTAGATGCGTCTGCGTGTTTTGTCGCGCTGCGCGGCAAGACGATCCTGGGGTAGGGCGTCCAGGCTGCAAGTATCAATTGGTGGCCGACGGGCCGAGTGGGCACTAGCATCTGGGTAAATGCTGGCGAATGAGCAGAGCGGTGCGAGTGGCGCACGTGTGATGAGGTGTGGAAATTAGTTGCGCGTTGGGCGGGTTGGGCT